TTCAATCCCCCCCCCCGCCCCCTTCCATGAGGTTCCCTGAGTGGTTAGCAAGGGCTTCATTAGCTCGTTTAGTCCCCAGTTGACCACACTGAAGACACAGCCCACAGCAACAATATAGACACATGCAAGAAAAGACAAAATATTAGTAACAACTCTCCTATCATGTCCCCCAGGGCCTGAACCAGTATTCTAACAACTCGCCAAGTCTTGGGGTCAGATCACTCAGGGCGTCTACTTGAGTTGTCATACATATTAACAAAGAAGAGATACTAGATTCACCTGCCATAAAAAACACAACACTCAGTTTGGATGATGCTATAGGTGCCCCTGTAACTGGACACCACAGGGATAGCAGAAGTCCAAGGTCAGAAAGATAAATATTTAGTGGGGACTTGGATTAGTAGGTCTTCTCTTTCTATGAGAATGATGCTTATAGCCTGATCCTTAGATGTTAATGTAGCTGCAGCCTTGGGAACCTGCCCGGCTGTGTGAACCATGCATGTTAGCCGGGGAGGTGGTGCTCTCTGGCATGAGGTGAATAGGAGGGGGAGTATGCCAGACTAGAACCCCTGCATTATCCCTTTCTCAATAGTGTGTGTACCGGTCCATGTATAATGTGTCTCCACAGGTCCTGGCTGCATTAGGATGACAGGGTCCCACTTTAGACTGGGCATTTCAGCCCCACCCAGGGGTGTGAAGTAACCAACCCACCTTGGCAGGATGTTCCATTGCAGATTCCAGTAAATGGCCCCATATTTTAGTGACAGTAGGGCTGGTCCATGGCAAGCATCAGGACTATTGCTGTGTCCTTTGTTTTCCACACCTTTACCGTTTGGGTGCCTCAGTCAGAGTTTCCAGCCTGGTATATGGAGCAACAGGCCCCACAGGCTGGTCATTTAAATATATTAATGCCTAGGAAAGCACCTTTGTCCACCCAGCCAAGGTAGGGTTTTCCAGTTAGTAATTTTATCTGTTGCTTAAGGACCCCATTCTTCCATTCCACCAGCCTAGCTGCTTGTGGGTTATATGGCAGGTGGGCTGTCCATTCAATATCATAGTTTTTTGCCCATTCTTGTACTGATGTACCTTGAAATGTGATGACACCCCCAACCCCGCCCCCCAGTCAGTGTTGTATGAGAGTACCAGACATAGTACTCAGCTTTTCTAGTTCTTTTACAGCAGCAGCCTGATTAGCCTGCCGACATGGGAAGGCCTGAGTTAAACCAAAGGCAGTGTTGGCACACATCAAAGCATATTTGGAACCCCTGCTCAGAGGAGGGGTCCTATGTAGTCCATTTGCAGTCCCTTGCCAGTTTGGGGATTTCTGTGGCAGTTATCTTAGGCGTTGTCTGGAGCAAAGAGGACAGGATGTAAGTGCATTGCTAGGTCACTGTATTTTAAAGGCAGCCCTGACTCCTTAGTTGTGTGCCATCCTACCCACGCACCACAGTGCCCACTTTTCTGACGACCCCAATCTGTAGTGCCCACTGGTAGGTCAGTTGCTGAAGTGCATATTTCTGCCAAGACATCCGCTTCCTCCTTACCTGGAACTGTAGATACCTTTGGGCAGAGATATGGAAGGTAAGACCTGCCTCAGGCTACTGCAAGTGAGCCCAGATACCTTTCCATGTCTCTGTCCCCATAAAGGTTTGTTCACAATCATTTACTTCTCCACCTCC